GTGTGCGCGATGAGTCGGCTACTCGGGGAGCTACAGACGCTCCGGCACAAAGGGACGCGTCGGTCCTTGAGTGCGGCCCGCAGCCCTGCATGGAGCGCAGCAGAGTGGACCCGCCGGCCAGGGCGTCCCTCCCGCCTCGCGGTCGGTTGACTCCCATCGAGATGCCCCAGCCAGCCTCCGCTGAATTGAAACAAACGACACTGTCGCCCTGCAGCCTTCCTCTCATTCTCTTAGGTTTTCACGGCTAAAGGTTGCGTTCACCTGGACGTAGGGACGCCTTAACACCAAGTTTTCACACGAGACTGTAGTTTCTACTATTTGTCTTTAGAAGATTAGCGTGGGGGGGGGATCGATGTTAAGCCGTGACCGTTTCTGGCATCTTTTGTAGTTTCGTTGGTTTCTTTCTCAGCTGGCTCACTTGCAGTAATATTCCTGGGTTCCCTTGAGCCTGTCAGGTCCCCAGGGGCTTCGCATTGATGACCACAACTCTTACTTTACCCTGATGATCTGCCACTCTGTCGAGGGAACTGTCTGTACCTATTTTGAGGCCATCCTCGTTGTTGCTATCTTAGAAATGTAACAGTTTTAAACAAATGTGGAATCTCAGCCAGCTCTGAGCAAGGGAAACTTTGAGAAGAGCAGAAATACAGGCTTGCAAGTGTGGTGATTTTCTTCACATCGGGAAAGCTGATGCCTTGCAGTTGATGGGTAGAGCCCAGACCTGGCTCCCAGTGAGCTGTGACCATAGCCTGTAGCCGGTGGAGGGTCAGGCCCGAGGTTTAGAGGCACACAGCAGCAGTCCCAGGGGTCTCCTGGGAACAGTCGCTGCTCCTGAAGCCACCTCCAGCTACAATTTATTCAGAAGTTTGCATGTCACACCCACTCCCCACAAAAGCTTCTAGAAGTCTTCAGGCAGAAGTGTGCCTGTGGGGTCTCTAAGAGGTTGATGGGGATCTGTTTCATGCTTTTCTCTTAGCAGCCTTCTGCATTCTTTGGTTTGCACTTGGGTCGCTCCAGTCTCGGCTTCAGTCTCCTCTGTGTGTTTCTGTGTTCAGATCTCCCTCTTATGGGAACACTAATCCATCTGACCTTGTTTAATTTGAACACATTTGCAAATGGCTGGTTTTCCACTCAGCCCACAACAGTGCAATCTGGCCAGCTTGGTGGGGGTGAGATTCCAGAGAAGGACAACCAGGAGGCAGAGGAAGGTTGACCCACAAACTTTAGGGAGTCATGGGTGGTCCCACACATGGCCCACGTGGAGCAGATCCTGGGACCCCAGACGAAGGTTGGGACAGCTGGCCTGACCTGGGGAGGCTTAGCTGCTGTGACTGACTGAACAGTGCACGTGGACAAGATGCAGAAGAGACCTGTGCTTTGTGGGCGCAGAGGGAACCTGTGCCTGGGACGCCATGTCTCCAGATTCCAGTGGCCCAGAACCAGCCCTGCTGTCTTGGCCAGGGACCACAGTGTCCTGAAAGTCCAGCACTGTGCTCCTGACAGTGCTGGCTGCTTGGGGTACAGTGGTTGCCATGGCTGTATGGCTAGATGGCGCATTCTAGGGACCCCCTAGGGTGGTGCCCCTTGCTGCTTGGCTGCAATAAATGTGAGAACTATCTCCCTTACTGTTTGAGTTGTTCTCTTCTTTATTTGTGTCTTTGGCTGGAGAATGAAAGGGGACCTGGGGGAGACAGGGAGACAGTTCCATGGGAGCAGGCCAGAGCTGCTGGGTGGTCTAGTATGGGAAGACAGAGTTCAAGAGCCAGGGAGTGTTCGAGGCCAGACAGCCCAGCCTGGTGTGGTTGTGCCCAGGTGCAGGGGCAAAGGGGGCCTGGGTAAGAGGTAGCACTCTGCTTAGAGGCTGTGTGCCTAGGGAGAGCTAGGCAGGCAGCGGGGGCCCTGTGCTCTCCTCAGACCTGGAACTGCTGTCTCGGAGGACACTGGCAGATGCAGTGAGGTGGGAAAATTGAGCATTATGAAGTTGGAGCTGTCTCACAGCTGTGAATGGCTTGGAGACAGGAGCCTGTTGTGGTAAAACGACTTAGGCAGCTGTTACTGACAGCACTTTCTCCCCTGTGGCCAGAGAGCCCCCGACACCCAAAGGGGAGCACAGGGGTTGGGGAGAGGGGAGATGTCCCCACATTCCAGTCCCTCTTGGGGAGGAACCCCAGGAGGGGTGGGCAGCCCTTTGGTTTCTTTGCCACCTCCCTTCTGATGAAGGCTAGGGTTAGCTGTTTGTTCTGCATGGCCCTCAAACCTGAGTGCTTCAGCCCCCAGGGTTGGGAGGGGCAGGAAAGTCTGTTCTCTGGGAGAGAGCAGTCTCACTGAGCCTTGTCCTTTGTGCCCAGTGAACCCTGACTGTGAGCCATTGGTGCTGGATTCTCTGAAGGTCTCTGGGCCTGCTGCCCCACCTCCTGGAACCCCTCGATCCTGGACCCAACTAGAGGGTGACAATGCATTTGAATGAAGATGTAGTGCCACCACCTTCCTGGCTTTTCCTTTCTACCCCCATGAGTCTCCGGGCTGTGTGGAGCCTGGGGGCAGAAGGCGAGGGCAGCTTCTGCTCTCAGCCGGGTGAGGCTCACTCAGTGTGGCCTCCTTGGTATCCGCTTCATGTCATGGCTCTTGACTTTTCTTCCTGGGCTTCAGTGCCGGCCTCTGCTTGGAGTCACAGGTCGGCTTCCC